CAAAGGTAGTAGCATTTAATTATCTAGTAAATTATCTAAGGAAGATGGACGTGAAGGAGTATATCCTTCCTGTGAAGACAGGGAATGAGTCAGGAAATTGGGATCAATGATCCATTAGATCTGATATGTCCCATTATTAGCAATTAGGGTAACTTCATAAAAGGCTGTGTTTCTATGAAAGAAGCTGCTTTGACTGATTATGGGTTAATTCTTTTCAGCCAGCAAATGGGGTTGAAGATGTTTTTTCCAAAGCATTCTGTCAGAGGAGATGCAATTTTTCTAGGTTAGGTCACCCTGATTCTGCTGAATCTTCATTACAGGGGTTTTCAAGCAATTTTTATATGGCTCCTCCTACGAAATTAAAACACTCTAGGCTCTACAGGCCTACAGTATTACATTACAGCTTGATTCATTATTTGAAGTCCCATGGAGAACAGAGATAAGTATTTTAAAAGATAACAAGGATCTGAATGAGAATGCACTGCCGATTTTTCACCAGTATGTCACTTGATGCCTCTTAAAATAAGACCCAATAAAGTTTCAAGTTTAGCACCTGAAATGAAAGGCCATTTTTTGAAAATTGCAGTAATTTTTTTTAAATGATTATTTTCACATTCTACAAGCCAATCCAATTATACAACTGTCATATTTATCAAAAGCATTTTGAAATCACTAGATCAGCACTGTATTAATCAGTAAATCAAAACAAATCATTTTTATCACACATGTTCAGGACAACAGACAGCTAATCAGTTCCTTAGTCAATACAATAGGGAAGATGACAGGAGGAATTGTGGCAGTTCACTCCAAATTTAATCCTTTTTTTTCCCCCAGCTTCCTTTTAGCAGTTATGTTGGGACTCTATTTTCTATAGAATAGCCAGCTCTCAGCCTCAACCTTTTTCCATAGGAGTGCAGTTAGATAATGAGATATTTATACTTAAATAGACTTCAAAAAGACTATCCTAGCTCGTATTTTTAAATAACAATTGTGATGCAGTTCTCTCACAAACTGTTTCCATCCACAAAACACTAAGACTGAATCTTGTGAACAGTTTTATACTTCAGCTTTGTTTTTTGCTTTTTGTTCATTTGGTTTTTTTTGTGTTAAGCACTAGATATCTTAAGAGGATAATGCTTAAAATGCTTTAACCTACCCACGTCAGTCTCCTCAGTAAATGGACAACGGGTGTAGAAAACTAGGTGAAAAAAGCCTTAAATGTGGGATAATAAGCATCATATTACCCCAATATCAGTAAAGTGTTTGAAATAAGTTATGTTGCATATAAGCATGTGGAGTGTATTCATAGATTCATAGATGTTAGGGTCGGAAGGGACCTCAATGGATCGAGTCCGACCCCCTGCATAGGCAGGAAAGAGTTCTGGGTTTATATGACCCCAGCTAGATGCTTATCTAACCTCGTCTTGAAGACCCCCAGGGTAGGTGAGAGCACCACCTCCCTTGGGAGTCTGTTCTAGACCTTGGCCACTCTAACTGTGAAGAAGTTCTTCGTAATGTGCAGTCTAAATCTGCTCTCTGCTAGCTTGTGGCCATTATTTCTTGCATTGTGATAAACAAGCAGAGACTTTTGGTTGCATGTATGCAGGAATCTCATGTATGGTCTCTTATCCTCCATCTCTCAGTGAACAGCTAAGGCTGGCCTAAAAACCCTTCTGTTTGACATTATTTTACAAACTCATATAAAACGCTATGCATAAACAATACATTACAGGTACTTTTATTATAGAGCTCATGGAACTCAACAGACAAGTCTAGGAGGGTAGGGACAAGCAACCTACAGAGCGTGAGCAGTGGACAGGAATTTACTGCAGAACAGTCGATGTGCGGTAACTGTCCATCCGCCCACTTCTCCCAACCTTGAGCGGGTTACCTCTGACTGAATCACAGCTAAGTTTTTCCAGTTTAGCTTTTACTTACCATGGGGTAACATTGGGCAGATGGGCATGTCATGCATCAGCTACTCCGCAGTAAGTTTTAACTCACTACAATTTAATCATGTCCAGATAGTTTCATGTTATCTGTTATGTCCAATACATAGCAGTACGCTGTATTTAATTAAATACACAATCAGTAAAATACACATTGATCCAAGTTGCTTTCAAATAAAATATTTTTTTTCCCATTTTTACTATAAATATGATAACATTTAACAGCAGAGTCTAGCAAGAAACTGCACACTGAAAATCATGTTGGTTAATAATCCCAACATACCTGGGCTTTGAGGTATAAGCAAAGTGCCATCTGCTATAGTAGAAGAACATGTTTCTTGCACAAATCACCACAGAAACATGTTTGTTAAATACAATTATAACATTATCTGCCACAATTACACTGAAAGCAAAAATGAAAGATTTCTCAGCTATTCTTTTCAAACATAAAGCAATCATGCAAAAATAATAAAAACAGATGTCATGCTGTAAAGTGTCTATTTCTAGACCTGATCATCTCTGAATTACGAAGTTATATCAAGCAAGAAGCTTCCTGTCAGTGGACGTTTATGACAGCTAAAGTATCTCATTTGAATCCCATGTTCAAATTTCTGAGAATATTAACACTCGGAGGCAGCGTCATGAGTTCCATCTGCAAACAATTTCTTTGAACAACAAACGAAAAAAAACCTCTTCCTCTTAAAGCATTTCCCTTCAACTAAAAAACTTTGAAGTACTGATTTAATGCTTAAATTCTTTTTTGGTGCTAAAAATGGAAGCAAGTATGTACTTTCAGACATTTCTGAAAAAAGATTTAGGTAAATATAGTATTACTAAAAAGGAAAAATGCCTACTTAGTGTTTGAATAAATACTTCACCTATATAGGTATATCTATATCTATCTCTCTATATCTCTCTATATCTATCTATAAAAAGAATAACCTTATGTGGCATAGTGTAATCACCCACATTTTTAAATATGCATCACTAGGTACCATCTGCGCCATTCCAAAGACAAACATTTATTCTGAAAAGGAATGTGACTGGGTTGTCTGGCAAGAAGTCATCCGTGAAAAGGATGTTTTAGGTGTATATTTAACAAAAGGGTGAAAGTCCCACTTCATTCAAATAGTGGGCCAGCTAGTAGCAAATGGATTCTTCCAAAGGTTAATATACTGGTAGTAACAGTTTCATTTAGCCACACAACAGTTTAGGAGGCAAGAAGGGGAAAGTGTTCAGATTCTTTACTACTATTCCCAAGGGCAAAAAAGCTGAGTTAAGGGAATTTGGAATGGAAATCTAAAAATCTGTTCAAATGGTATCTTTAAAATAGTGCCACCCCTCCTCACCTGAGGCCCACCAAAAGAGAACTCTGTAAAGACTCTCAGAAAGGAACAGAAATGGGCAGATTTGGTACTTCTGTAGTACTCTCAACTCACCTGTTATGATATAGATGTAGCAAGTTAAAAAGACAGTCTATTCTGAGGCCTTACCATTAAGTCAGAAAGAGAAACCAAAGTGAGCTCAAAAAAACCCCTCTTACTTTAAAAAGGAAAATTGAGATATTCATATCATCCTTGAAGGCTTATAACATTGAGTCCCTTAGTACTCCAAGATGACTGGACATGATAAATGGGGGATCTCTGTTGGGGCTGTCAATGCTCTTCCACACAAAGAAGTGAATTTCTGGAAAAAGAGCATTTAATTCCCTCTGATGCAGAGCACAGGGAGACAAGTTTAAAAAGAAATAGTTACATACTGAAGGGCTGGAAAACAAGACTATAGCAAGAAAAGTGAGTAAAGAAGGTGTTAAATTGTTATTAGTCAACACTGACATGGCAAGTTCAGAGTTCTGATAAGGCTCCATATGAACAGAGAAAGCACTGAAATATGCTTGCTTCTACTTTTACTTTCTTTTAAGACATATTACAGTCTTGCACATTATCTCTGAATTTGGCACTAGTTGCTCCACCATAACTTTCAGTATGGTAGAGCAATCAGTTCTTATGCCGGAACATAAGAACAGGACTAAATACAGACAGGAACTGATAATTAAGCCCCTTGACTAACAACTGTTTTAAATGGATAAGAGGTAAAAACGTAATTGTTAAGAATTGCTCAAATTTTTCCTGTGTTCTGATGTAGGTTCCCCCATCAGACCTGTTTATAGATTTTCATGTTTTGCACTGCCTCAGCTCTCATTACAACAGGGATGGGCAATTATTTTGGCTGTAAAGCCACTTAATGAGTTCTGGTGTCCTCTTGAGGGTCACATCTTCCTCCCTCCCTCCCTCCCTCCCATCCTGGAGCTGTAGCATGCCCTAATCCCAATCCTTTCTCTCACTCTCCCCCCACTCCCTTCTCTCCATCTCGAGCTATACCATGCCCCGATTCTCAATCTTTCTCCATCTCCGGAGCTATAGCATATTCCGATCCTCCCTTTTGCTCTCTCTCCCCACTCTCCAGATCTTTGTAGCATGCCCCAAATCCTATCTGTCTCCTCACCTCCCTTCCCACTGCAAACCCTGCCCAGAGCTGAAACATGCTCCAATCCCCATCTCTGATTCAACCTGCTGGCCCCATTGGCATTTTCTGGCACCACCCCAACATGGCGGAAGCAACCCCAGACGGGAACCAGCATCAGCTGTGGACACACCCAGCAAGTTCCAGATGGGAATCGAGACATTTGCCAGGGTCCACAGCTGATGCTACTGCAGCAGCACTGAGCAGCAGTCCCGTCCACCTACCTAGTACCACACGGCGGCCAGACAGAGCTAGAGCCAATGGCCACCCTCAGGCCAGATCCCAGGGGTTGGCAGCTGCCAGCCAGCAAGCTGGATACAATTAGTTGGTAGGGCAGATCCAGCCCACAGGACATATTTTGCCCACCTGTGCATTACAACAAACAGGCAACTTACAGGATTAAGCACCCTGTTCCTTAACTTTCTAAGTCTTCAGTAAAAGAATCTTAAAGTTGCAATATTATTGAAGACAAGTTGCTGCTGCTAAAAAATAAATTAAAGTAAAAGGCAATATCCACATATGATTTTATTTTCAAACACCTTTTAATCATATCAGTAACCTACAAAGCAGTCTTCAACAGTTAAAGTTTACAGTGCCCTAGATGACTATGCCTGCTACTCATTTTATGTCAAGCAAAGTTATTTACTTGCTGGTCGATGTAGGGCAAGAACCAGTTGCTTGTCTCTCAGAATTTCTTCCTCCTCAGGGTAGTTTTCATCACAATCACTGCAAACGAAAGACAGTGATTGTCAAAAGTTCCTTTTAATGTTAGCTTGATACGATTGACCATTATATATACAAAGTTATGAAAACTATGTCATTGCTAACATAAGGTATGCTGTTGGATTACCTTGCCCATTTTTACTCTCTCTACCAAAGGGGTATTTTGAAGCTCTCTGAAAATATTTTCCTGTAATCTTAAAGTATGCACATTTTAGTGTACACATGCAAGGCACAGGGGTTTTAAATCTGGTTTCCTACCTGCATCACGGCAATAAGTACTTATCTGGCAAAAAGTCTGATGGGAAAAGGTGCAGTAAGGCAATTTTTTGTAAAAACACAATAAACCCCATTTATAACATAATAATAAACCCTGTTCTCCCCCACTCCTAGCATAAGAAAAACATTTATCACGATTATGATGCAAGGCAGTGAGTAGACCGATTACAATGAACACATTTTTCTAAACAAACTCTTCTCCCAGTCCCATGGGAGCTCATTATAATGAGGTTGTACTGCACGAAGTATGCAAAAAATATTTGCAAGACCCTGAAACATGGTGTTCTCTCTCTCTGGTGTAGCTTTTAGGCTTACAAGGAGGTAACAGGTGCCAAGAGGAGTTCAACAAACCCCGAGGTCATGCTGGGCCTTTTCATTAAGCTAAAGAGGTACCCTTAACATTATTTAAAATATTATATAAATAAATAAAACAAAAATACAAACTAAGATACAAACTATATAAAAAGAAAATACAAAAGATATACAAAGAAGATATACAAAATCTTACAAAAGATACAAGAATAAGATACAAAAGGTATACAAATGAAGATACAAAGAATACAAAATGAAATAGCAAAAGATACATTTCAGTTTAAAAGGCAACCACAAAATCCGTCCGTGAAAATAGCATTGTAGTACCTAACTTACTTTTTAGTTATGTTATACAGTGCTTTCAAGGTACAAAATGTTATAGAAGTCCCAAATAAAATTATTCTTATTGATTTCACTATTATGCCAAGAACTCTTCATATACCTTCATACAGTTATATTTGCAGGCCTTATTATCAAGAATACCGGCTCAAATAAATCAATTTTGGGAAGAAACACCCAAAGCACAGCCAGATATAGACCACACCTTATTCTTGATGTCTTAGACATGAATTTAGATCCTACAGCAAAACTAATGTTAACAAATGCAGTTAAATAATCCAATATTGCCAAAATTATTTTCAGTTGATTGGGCATGGATCCATAATACTACATCTCTCTCTCAACCATCATCCCATATTTATTTACTGGGATCTCATATACAGGTGTACATAACAAATCCATGTCCCATATATGCCTGATCGACTGTGCCCTTTCTTCACCTCACCTTCCAAACAGTTTCCTCAAGTCTGTTACACTAAATATCACCATTCTATCACCTGCCTCTGTCCAACTCTGTGCTATTCTAGGTATCTAGCAACCAATAATGCTGTTCCACTTCCCTGGGAAAGAGTTAGGAACCTATATAGTAACTGGTAATTTTTTCTACATGTTGTCTATATATACACATTCTGCTTTCTGTGCCCTTTGCAATCAAGATTGAACTCTCTTGGATAATATTTTCTGTTGGGGCAACACATGCTCAAATTGCCCTTCATGGTCTTATAGCCAGGTAATGCAGGACCAAACACTACTCAGATGCTTCTCTATTTCAGAAGCCAAATTATAAAATGTCTCAAACAGAGAAGCCAACTGTTTAATATATATAAATAATACTTTTGAAAAAACTCCAGTTCCTGTAGAAGTAACACTTTCTGCTTCAAGTGCTTGTCCATACATATGCTCCACTCCTGGTGCTTACCAAGCAGTGCCCTGATCAAATTTAGAGAGTGCAGGAAGTCTCATTTAAAAGCAAATCACAAAACAACTCTACAAAAGTAGCACGTTTTCAGGAATGATTATGTTCAATAAATGAATTTATGGCAGTCTTGAATCTATCAATAATGGGGATGCTTCTCAAGGAACCAGCAAAGTCTGCTTGTGCACTTGTGACATGAACCCTAGTGTTTATAAGATCTAATCTAGCCAATTCTAAAAGTTGAGATATATGCTGAAATTCATCTGGATAATTTCTGAGCTGCAAAAAAGGGGAACAGACTCAGGGCACACCTGGGATTCCCCCACATGCAGTGGTATGCACCAAGTCAGTAGCCCCATTTTGCAGATGTCCCACAGGCTTAATCCGAGGAGTGGCAGGGGCCTGACCCCGAGGGCTTGATCCCAGGAGTGGCAGGGGCCTGAGCCTAAGGGACAACAGGCAATGTCTATGTTGCCTAAAGAAGCAGACTTCTTTAGTCTGTGCTCCAAGGACAACTTCTGTTTATAGCCTAAGATTCTTTTTGTCTCATAAGGAAAGACTGAAAGGTTACCAGATTTCAGCCCAAAGATTATCCAGATGAGTTTCAACATACAGTATATCCAACTTTGCCTGGATTCCGTGGGGTGCCCCTGTTTGCAGAGGCACAGCCTGAATGGAGCAAATCCCCTGCAAGGATATTTTAGGGGTGTAACTCTGCAAACAGGAAAACCAGGCAAGTACTTCAAGGGCCCGATCCTGCATGCTCTAGGAATACCCATGCAAGAGATTTCCTTGGTGCAAAGGATTGGGCCCCTGAAGACCTGGGAACATCTGCCCAAAACAGCTGGAGAGCACAGGGCAGCTCTGGGCCACACTCTCCCACCATAAATCAAATAGATGCCCGCCACAAAAAAACGGCACAAATTTATAGCACCTATTGTCACAGCCAGTTTTAGGTATTTGTGGAGCAACAAAAGACATGGATGTCTGCTTGCTTGGGCTTTGTGCCACTATTAAAAAAATGTTTACAGAAGCACAAAGGCAACATCTATTTTCAGCCTTGGGGATGCTCAAAGGGGTTTAACCTGTAGCTGTAAACCTACAAACTTAAGGGATGTACCTTAGATACATTTTCCCTCAAACTTCATTCTAATAAGGTAGAATCTAAATGGGTGAATCAAAACAGGGTGATTAAAACAGAACTCTATTTTTTGGCACGAATTTAGAATATCATTTGAGTCACTCTCCCATTCTGAAATTGTCTAAGGGAGTGGCGGAGGCCCTAACATTTGATATCCTATCTCCCCATTCTACCTAGCTGAAGTAGCTGCCACACAGAAATTTAAGAAACACAGAAGAGAGGATAAAAACATCAAGGGTTCAAAGGGAGTGAATATACCCAGTGTTATAGTGAGGTGAAGGTACTGGTAGTGGTTTTGATCCATCAGAAATTTTAAATATTACACGTCAGGTGGATGTACAGCAATGTGAAAGAAAAAAATATTTCAGTCTGCAGGATGTTTGCTATCTAAACAAGATAAAACAGAGGATCAGGTGACTATTCTAAATGTTGATTAAGGTATTCAGAACTCCCAAAATCAGAACTAAACTTTCATCCTCCATCCTTTTTTGAGTATAAAGTAGTAGTCTCATTAGAAACCTTTCCCTCAATTGGGCTGAAATTTCCCATATTACTCCAAGACAGAAAATATTCAGTTTCTTGAAATAGTACCCACTCAGGAATGACAGGTGATAGCTACATGTGGAAACAGAACTATGTGGAATAACCTGTTGAAGCAATCTCTCTGATTTAGCTCCCTCTTGCTTAACTAAATGACAACATATGGGTGTGCTCACATAGGGCACTACTGCAAATCTCAGAATTAAGGAACAGTCTTGGGATAGCAGTTGTCAATGCACTTGGCAATGAGAAAGAGGTTGTAACCAGAGCCAATATATGGGATAAAAGACTCCACTCAAATGTGTGCCAAGAGTGGAATTAATAGATGGACAAATACTTAAAGCACTTCATTCACATGGATACAGGCACAAAAGAAAGGATCCCAAGTTATAAATGTGAAAGCAAAAAAAAAGCGAACATTTTTAAATGATAGAATAATATCGTACAATTTTTTTCAGGCATCAAACAGTGACTGAGAAGGTGGAAACGTCAACACTGCTTTAAGCCTCTAACCTTGCAGAGTTTAACACTAAGACATCTCTGTACAGTATATGAAAACTACTGTTTTCAATAAAAGGAAAGAAAAAAAATCAAATAATGAAATTAAGAAGTTATGTTAAGAAAACATTAACAACATAGACTAGATTTAAAACCATGAGATGCAAGTTACATTGCATGGTCTTGAACTTTCATATTTAATAATTCTTACAATTTTGCTCCTATCAAACAAGTGTCTTTCCAACCAAAAGTGCAGTGAATAGCACAGAAATTACTGAGCTAATTTACACAATAATATTTTAACATCTCTGCTATTCCCAGCCAATTCATTACTAATAATTTGAACACCTTTTTAATTCTAATAGATGAATTCCTACACTTTCATCTATTCATGTTACATGGTTTAATGAAGTGTTATGCCATGTAACTGAAAAATGTTAGGGATTTTTGGGTTTTTTTGCAAAAAATGTCATCAGTACAGCAGGTCACAGATGACACAGATTTTACATTATACTTGGCATGTAAAATACAAACAGAAAACTAAGTTTTTAATATACTGTCTTTAAGATGCTTGGAATGTTAGATATTTTAATATAGCCTTAAAAACCATAATCAGCAGGTTTAAATTACCTTAAAGTATCAACTCTACTGTGGTCTTTCAGTTCTAGGTTATTATGGAAATCTGTAATATTTTCACTTATCTTCTTTGAATGTCTGCTGGAAGCTGATAAGTCTTCAGAGGTTAAGCGGCAAAGTTTTTCCTGCGGATCTGAAATATTTTGCATCATTTTAAATAACACACATAACAGAAATACAGTATCTAATATATAAGGTTTCTAAGAAGTTTCATAGAACAGCACTGTCCTACCAGCTAAGTCACTGTGCTGCTTTTCTCTTCCCCAATCTCCTGCTCAGCTTTCTGCTCCCTGGCCTGTGCTCTCTGACCAAGCTGCTGCTCTGCTTTCTGCTCCCTGCCCTATCTGCCACTGTGCTACCTGTCTTCTCTGCAATCTGCTGCGTGCCACAAACAGAGGCTGCCCAAGCTACCTGTAGCACTTTGTGTTGGCCACCCCGGTTAAAACAAATTCCCCTAGATATTGGCCATCAGCCACCAGGATTAATAAGATTCCTCTCTCATCTGAAGGGTTAATTATGCTTCCAATGCAAGAACCAGGAAGCAGGCAGCTACTGCAAAAACTCATATCCCTGGTAGAGGCACTCAGCACATCCTGTGAGATTTCTGTAACAGGAGCACAGAAGGTAAGAGGTTCAAGAAGCAAGAGTGCTCTAAAACCTGTTTCTACGGAGCTGGGATGTTATTGTCTGGCCTAAATCTCGTTTAGCCACAAAAACAGAACATGGCATACCCTAGAATAGGGTGCTCAACCCCTGGCCTGCAGGGCTCTCCACAGGTCTGGAAACTAGGTTTTTATGGGAGCTCCCCTGCTGCCAGATTTTCAGAACCATGAGGAACTCTGGGGTCTATGCACTGAATGTAGTGCCCAATTCCAGTGCACAGGGCTGGGCAGAGGTAGCGTCAGACTCTAGGACTCACTCCTGGTGTCGGGGACAGAATGGGACAGTGACAAGCCCCTGGACCTAATCCCGGCATGCCAGGGATCAGAAGGGGGCTGTGCAGGCCCCTGGGAGCCAATTCTAGCATGCAGGGATGGGAGGGAGTGGTGCTGGCCCCCTGGGAGCCAACCCTAGTGGGAGGGGGCAGGGCCAAGCGACCTCTGGGATCCAACCCTAGTGGGAGGGGGCAGGGCCAAGCCCAGCCACAGTGTGTACCGTCCCACGTCCCAGAGACCCAATTCCTGTATGCAGGGGCCAGGAGGGGGCAGCACCAGGTCCTTGGTGCCCAATCCCATGAGTGGAGCAGGAAGGGGGTAGTGTCAGGCCTCACAGTCTGATTCAGCACATGATCTGGCCCATGCCACTCATCTCGCCTGCAGGGCCAAAAGGTTGAGCACCACTGGTCTAGAAGGATTGGTCTTATAAATACAAACCTAGGAGGACTCAAAAACATATCAAGACATCAACAAGTATTTGACCTTATGTTACAAATGCTCTAGCATGACATGTAGGTTATCACTTTAACTAAATACCTATATGACTTTGCAATTCTTTTTCCAAACTAGCTAAGGCTTGTTGATCAGCAATATCTTCTAAAAGAGGATCATTTTGTTCAGTTCGATCATCAAACTCAAATTTGGATATTTCAGCAACAACTGTAGATAGCAGCTGACTGGTTGAACTTTTTGGTCTTATTTGAGAACGTGAACACGGGATAGGACGACTCTTAATCATTCCACAGAGCGGGATATTTGCTGATAAAGGTCTCGGGAAACTAGTCACTGAAATAAAAATAAAAAGCAAATCATGTTTTTTTTCTCTAATTAACCAAATCAAATGAAATGAAGTTAAAAAGTTATGAATTATTATTAATTATTCAACACAATATAATTGTCAAATTGTATCTTAAATACTACTGTATTTTAGGAGGTATACAATTTTCTGTGGAAAAACTGAGTCCAGGTTACAAATTGTTATACAGGTTTCCCCTCACTTTATGCAGGTTCTGTACGTGCAAATTCGCTCTCATGAGATGATCTTTTTTATACCACAAATTCGCTATGTGCGAGGCAAATTCACTCATGCTATTGGTGTGGTGGAAGTCCGCAGTCAGCTGCTTTGCATGGTGAACTGTGGGAGTGACATGCACCAAAATATAGTCTCCTGTGTGAATCTGTGCTCCTTGTTCATTGTTGGCAACATGTGTTTCTGTAGTTGCCATCCTCATTATGATAGTACACTGTGCTTGTGTGTACTGTCTGCTGTTGGTGAGTACCAACATTTCTTGTAAAAGTGGTAGAAATGGGTCTGGTGGTCAGTACAGTCGAGCTCTTGGAACATATCCCTATTGGTTACATTGTAAAGTGGGTTCCCTTTATGCGAGTTCGAGTTATGCGTCGTTTTCCAGGAGCACATGTCTAGCATAAAGCAAGGGAAACTTGTACATGCAGTCAGCCTGGCATAATTTTTCTTTAAGTAAATCTCTCCAGTTTTGACATTTATAAAAATATAAATAAAATAAATGACAGTTTCACATGTTTTGCACTGAATTCAAAATGGATAGTTTTGAATCTGCCAAGTGATTTTTTTTTTTTTTTTTAAAGAATGAAGATGTCAAATTGCCTGCCCAGCACGAGAGAAATAAACGGTATGAGTTATGTGCCTGGGGAAGGCAGTGGCTGAGACAGACAAGAGTAACTCACGAGAACAGCATGGATGGAGCTGAATTACTTAACTACACCTTCTCTCTCTTTTTACAGTCTATGCAATTATAATTTAGTATTTGAATTACATTAGCAATTGGAGAACCAGACTAAGATGCAGACTACATTGGACTAGGTAGAAGCACATAGCCACAGATAAACTCTCCAGGGCAGGAATTATGATCTAAGTAGACAAGACAGACAAAATAAGTGGTGGGAGAAACGACGCACAGAGCAGTGCAGTGACTTATTAAGGTCAGAGTTTGTGGGATGTGCAATGTAAAAAGTCTCAACTCAAAAGTTAGCATTGTTATTTGTATGAGAAAGACGGCTTGAATACATAGGATGCAACATTCTATTCTTTTTATTATGGGGTGACAAGTTCTTACTACTGCTTGTTTAACTTTTCAGATGTTTAGGATACGTATACAGGTTTTCCTCACCAACCGCTGGGGTTAGGTTCCTGAAAGTTCCCGTGTTTGGCAAAACCATGGTTGGCAAGACAAAAGGCTTATGGGAAAAATGGCAGGGGGGAGGCTGATGGGCAGCAGTGGAAAACTGTGTTTACTCAAAACTGTATACCATAGTAGCCAAAATGGTATCTAGAATATGAAGCGTGCATACTCAAAATTGTGGTTGGTAAAACTGTGGTTGGCAAGAGAAACCTGTACTTTCATAACAGGCAATTGGAAAATGGAAATTTTATGAAAGAAAACTTGTAAGTAGATAAAAAATGACTTCAGATATCCACAATAGTACCATTTCCAAAGGATGATATTAGGCATCCAACTCCCATGGGGAAAAAAAACAACAAAAATAAACTCTTTATAACAACATTATAAATTTGTCTTCCTTGAGACTTTGTAATATGCACAGCACAGATATGAGGCTGAAGCTCTGACTAAATTTAATCACAGTTTTTTAGCATGCTACCCTGGAAACATTTTCATAACTATCTTTATGCAAAAATAATGAAACTATGAGTATTTAAAAGTGTATGTATTAAATAAGAATTTCGGATGAGTAAAGTGAATAGGGTTTGGCCATGGAAGATTTATTATCAGGATGTACTGTAATAAAGAAATTAATTTTGTTGTTATTACAAAAGTTATCCTAAAAGGCCTTGGGTTCTCTGTCTGCTGCACATCTTCAGAACTGCAGCTTTAATTCAATGAGGAATTGTAGGTCACTGAACGAGACTTTGACTCACTCAGGGAACTCATGAGTAGGAAGTTAGGAACCCCTGGGAAGCCAGTCTGAGGGAGAAGAGGAGTCCAGGAGACCAGGCTGTACTTTAAAGAAGCTTTACTGAGACTGCAGGAACAAACCATCCTGATATGCAGAAAGACTAGCAAGTATGGCAGAAGACCAGCTTGGCTTAGCATGGAACTCTTCAGTAAATTAAATCACAAAAAGAAAGCCTTATTATAAGTGGAAACTTGGACAAACAACTAGGAAGGAGTATCAGAGTACTGCTCAGGCATGTAGGGATAAAGTCAGGAAAGACAAAGCGCAATTAGACTTACAGCTAGCAAGGGATGTGAAGGGGAACAAGAAGGGTTTCTACAAGTATATCAGTAACAAGAGGAAGGTCCAGGAAAGTGTGGGTCCCTTACTGAATGGGGGAGGCAACCTTGTGGCAGAGGATGCAGAAAAGGCTGAAGTGCTCAATGCCTCTCACCTCAGTCTTCACAGGCAAGGTCAGCTCCCAGATTACTGCACTTGGCAGCATAGTTTGGAGATGAGGTAAACAGTCAGCAGTGGCAAAAGAACACGTTAGGGACTATTTAGAAAAGCTGAAAATGTACAAGTCCATGGGGCCGGACAGGATGCACACAAGGGTGCTGAGGGCATTGACTGATGCGATTGCAGAGCCACTGGCCATCATCTTTGAAAACTCATGGCAATACGGAGAGGTCCGAGATGACTGGAAAAGGGCAAACTTAGTGGCCATACTTAAGAAAGGGGAAAAGTGGGATCCAGAAAACTGTAGACCAGTCAGTCTCACCTCAGTCCCTGGGAAAAAAAAAAAAAAGTCACAGAGCAGATCCTCAAGGAATCTATTTCTAAGCACTTGGAGGACAAGGTGGTGATTAGGAACAATCAGCATGGATTCACCAAGGGCAAGGCATGCCTGAGCAACCTGATTGCCTTCTACGATGAGATGACTGGCTCTGTGGATGTGGGGAGACCAGTGGATGCAATGTACCTTGATTTTAGCAAAGCTTTTGATATGGTCTCACAACATTCTCACAGGCAAGCTAAGGAAGTATAGGGTAGGTGAATGGACTGTAAGGTGGACAGAAAACTGGCTGGAGCATCAGACTCAGAGGGCAGTAATTAATGGTTCTGTGTCTAGTTGGCAGCTGGTATCAAGTGGAGTGCCCCAGGGGTTGATCCTGAAGTCAGTTTTGAACAATGTCTTCATCAACGACCTGGAAGATGGCAGAGTGCAACCTCAGCAAGTCTATAGATGACACGAAGCTGGAGGAAGCAGTAGATATGCTGGAGGGTAGGGCTAGGATTCAGAGAGACCTAGACAAATTGGAGGATTAGACCAAAAGTAATCTCATGCAGTTCAACAAGGAAAAGTGCAAAGTCCTGCACTTGGGATGGAACAATCCCATGCCCCAGTAGAGGCTGGGGGCTGACTGGCTGGGCAGCAGCTTTGCAGAAAAGGACCTGTGGGTTACAGTGGATAATAAGATGAATATGAACCAAAAGTGTTACCTTGTTGCCAAGAAGGCTAACAGCATACTGGGCTGCATTAGTAGGACTGTTGCCAGTAAGTCAAGGAAAGTGATTATTCCCCTCTATTCAGCACTGGCAAGGCCACATCCGGAGTACTGTATTCAGTTTTGGGCCCACCACTACAGAAAGGATGTAGACAAATTGGAAAGTCCAGCAGAGGCACAGCCGTCCCTAGGGTATGGCAAATGGGGGTGACCGCCCTTGGCCCCACGCTATGGGTGGGCCCCGCAGAGTCGAGCAGAGTGGCTGCAGCCCCTCCTGCAGGGACTGGTAGCTCAGCCCTGCACCACGAAAGAAGCACGGAGCCCTCCCTGCCCCCCGCCCCCCCCCGTGGTACTTTGCGGGGGGTACCATGGCCCCATGCAGCATTAAGGGGGCACTGTACAGACTGATTTGCCCTGGGCCCCACACACTCCTAGGGTCGGCTCTAATGGTTTAGGGGCTGGAGCACATGACTTATGAGGAGAAATGAGGGAACTGGGCTTATTTAGTCTAGAGAAGAGAAGACTGAGAGGGGATTTAATAGCAGCCTTCAACTACCTGAAGGTTTCAAAACAGGATGGATCTAGACCAGGGGTAGGCAAAATGCAGCCCACCAGGCCATTCTATCCAGCCTGCGGGACCCCTAAAAAATTTAGAAAATGAATATTTATCTGCCCCTGGCTGCCTGTCTTGCGGCCCTCAATGGCTTGGCAAAACTCAGTAAGCGGCCCTCTGTCCAAAATAATTGCCCGCCCCTGATCTAGACTATTCTCAGTGGTGACAGATGATAGAGCAAGGAGTAATGGGCTAAAGTTGCAGCAAGGGAAGTTTAGGTTAGGTGTTAGAAAGAATTTTCTCACTAAGAGGCTAGTAAAACACTGGAACAGGTTACCCAGAGAGGTTGTGGACTCTCCATCCTTGGAGGTATTTAAGACCCGGCTAGATAAAGCCTTGGTTGGGATGATCTAGTTGGGGTTGGTCCTGCTTTGAGCAGATGGTTGGACTACAGGACTTCCTAAGATACCTTCCAACCCTAACTTTCTATGATTGTGTCACAGGAATCAACTACAAAATGCAGTACTTTTGAAATCAATTTGTCCGTATTTCTCATAGCAACAGTTTCTGAATTACAGTTTCTTTAAATTAAAAATTTAACTTTGTATATTGCTGCTACTCCCTGTCATGCAAATTCCAAAAGATCACATCATAATCTGCTCCCTACCTGCACATAGAGAGAAAAATGGTACCACTTTTAAGATAAATATCCTACTGATCTGTTGCACATGAATGGTATAAACTAATACAATAAACAATTCGATCTCTTATGTGTAAGCTAGCTGAAGTTACGGAAGTTACAGTAAAAATTTGGTGTTTCAGATAAGAGCTTGTGTTATATTTAGAAACGAATATAAAAATCTGCCTCTTAAAAATATGTATTTTTTTAGGTGCCAGAGTTCCTGCACAGGCATTTTTCTTTGAACAAAAGCAACTTCAATCAATCAGTTTGTAAAGCTTCTACAAGTGAGCAGCCAATGCACTACAAGCCATTACAGGCTTCTGAAGATTATAAAAATGCCTACATTAAGCATGCAGTGGATTTATGCTCAATTAAAACAACAATATTTTTTTTTTAAACAGTAAAGAAAACATAAATTTCTTCTGCCAGAATCAAGGGAAAACAGTAAGTATAAACAGTTACAAGCTGTGTAGTAAAAGGACTAACATACCAGATAGCTTTCTAGCCTGCCTGTTTCATAAGGAATGTTATAAGAACAATTACACTGGTTATATATTTATGAGAGATTTTTGTATCAACTACATTAAAGTGATTCCAAAACTATAATGAACATTCTTAATGATACAAATAAAATGGCAATTACTCATACATACAGCTCACTAAAACTATCTTGAAACTTTAAGCATTTGTCATAAGCATTCAGATTTTCAGCATCCATGATGAAGGCAGTTAAAAATGTAAATTACCATGAAACTTGATTATTAAGTCCTGTAGTTCTCCATCTCGGAACACAGCAAACTTCAGGTAAGGTAAAGCCTACACTTAGTTTTCCTCGAATATCTTTATCACTCTCTCTCATTGGTTTGTTTTATATCTTTGGTCAATGGTACAATTCACAATCTTTGGATACTTGTGGTCAGACAAACTTGCAACAAAGCAGTTGCAAATACATTTATGCATGCTATAAGCTAATGGCAACCATAGATAACCAACTGCTTCTGGGTCAGATTCAATTCCCCGTGAGACATCAAGAGCAAATTTTCAACTCATAAAGCTTATTATTGCATATTCTGGTAAATACTTAGTAAGTCCAAAGAAAAAAAAAAAAGCCAAAATTACTGACTCTAGACAATGGTTTGCTCTGTATAAATGCCAGAACCAATTGTCTGGAGGCTACAGTTCCATTTAAGCCATGTTATGGGGATCTGCTGTGGGGTTTGCCTGATGTGCCCAAACAGTAGGCTCCGGGCAAACAAACCTTAAATACCAACAGAATTTATGGAGCTGCTACCTGTTCACCGCCGAGCTATGTGCAGCACCACCATAAATGTTGAGAGCAAGATCTTTGGGGGCAGTCTGAAGAAAACATTTGTTGATTTGTGAATCTTTTTCCACTTAAAGTTTGTATGCAATATTCAATGGGAAAGGACAAATCAAAGCTGGGGTTTTGGGGCTTGTGTACTACTTCATGGAGCATCTGAAAGGACTGCAGTTATTTCTCCAATATTTAGATCTTACTTAAATTAACTACATCCTAAAACTTTAGAACACATTTTTAAGAGTAAAAAAAAAAATAGCAGAGAGAAATAAAATAACTAATGAATTACAATGTATAAGTTACAGATCTAATATCCTAATCCAGGACATCACTTGAAGTCAGCATGGCTACTGACACACTTAAAGACAGTCAGTTGAATACATCACCTGCTGAAATGGGGCTTCAACAATATATTATCTTGTTGAAACAGTTCTTACCAACAGGTGATCTGTGCACTGATCTCTGTAGAAAAGTTCTAGCATGTGTGTTTCGTTGTCTCAAACCACTTGATGGTCTGCTCAATTCACTTTGCCATATGTCCTGTACTATGGACTCTTCAGCATGGTCACTTAAGCTACGCATTCTGACCCACTGTTCAGCTCCTGAAATTAAAATTGCCATGGGTCATACAAAGAGGCAGGAAACTATATACACATTCTACACATTAATTTTCTCTAAGATTGTGGTTGCTGCCCAGAAAAAATAAACAGTACTATCAGTAAAAATGTCACACAATATATCCCCCTTTAAAATGATAAGCAAATAATTCATGACATGATTTTTATCTTATGTTTAACTGTATGTTCTATATTTTATAAATAAATACATACCTATGAACTATTTACAAGTCACCTCACAGAGAGCTTAATATAAAACATTAAAAACAATAAAAATGACAACTTAAAGTAAAAAAGCTAAATCAAAATTTAATACAAGGAAAATGCAACTGAGGTCCAAATGCTCAGGTGATTTCAACAGTTATAAATCTGTAAAGTCTATGGTGGTACAATTTACAACCTGAAGCAGGAGGCCAGCATATACTTCCTTACTCAGCTAGTTGCTTTTCTTAGTGTGACAGCTGCACCAATTTATATCATCCTGGGCTAGGGACAGAAATTACACATAAACAGGTAAAAGTAATCTGAAACTGGTTCAAATCTGTAACACAACAGAAGTGCAGTGTACATGAACTCAAAATGGCCCAAACCAGTTTAAGATAAACTTGGTTGGAAGTAGTCTCAGACTTAACTGAATTAAGGTAAATCGGTTTACTGAACTTCTGTCCCAGGTTCCCTCCAGATTCAAGTCAACTCGCGCTCCCCCAGCATTTCACAATGCTTTGCACCTTCCTTGCAGGGTGGATGGGCTAGCTTTGGCTCAAGCTGCTGGCTCCAGCTGAGCCTAGAGGTGTGCTCTAGTGCCCCCAGCTTCTTACCTGAGCCACTGCAGGCATATGGCCACATTTCTGGAATCAAAAGTGAATGTTTGTTCACTTGGTTATCAGTTCAATCTATGCATCTTAAACTAATCTGTGAAGACTGAATTAATTCAGCCTCAGGCTTTTTAACTATCTGCACATAATGCTGACTGGCAAATTACAAAACTGAACCTAGGAAAAGCTTAAATAAAGAGGGTAATGCTTTTTACTATTAAAAGCCCATATAGACTAGCATATGTACTCAATAAGTGACATAGTGGTGGAGGGTTTTACTTCTCAGTATTACCTGAAAATGAAATGCTATCTGTAGGGCTGGAATCAGAGCACAATGATGGAAGTGATTCAGTTGTTACTTGCTTAGAATTTGCACCCAAGCTAAAAAAATTCTCAAGTCCGAGGTACTGGGTAGAAACAGGTTTTTCTCTTCGGGCTACTTCCTGTAACAACTTGAATAAAAGACAAAATATTAACAAAAACAGCTAAAGGCTACATGTACCATGTCATGCCAAGTTAAATGTTAATAGAATGTTGCTTCATAAAACTTAAAATAAAAGTAGCATCTCTTTCCTGATGTTTATATCTTTATACACTGAATATTAGAAACCTCTATTACTTATTACTAGCAAAATGCTCAGTGTATTGCATCAACTAATCTTCACTCTTCTGTCAAGCATTCAGCTTTGGAATTTTAAAAGGCAAATCATGATTTTGTGCCTGACTGCACACAAAACACGCTGCATTTATGAAAAGACAGAAGCTAACGAAACCTGCCCTTCCGTTCTAGACTCTCTGAGAGATGTTTGAACATTGAGACTAAAATCGAAGGGTATATAAAACTTGTGACAACCAAATTAAGAGGGAAAGCAAGGTGAGTGACAGGCTGCATATGAATAGCCCTTCTGATCCTGGATTTTGTCATCTCTTTGCTTCATTTTCCTACACCACCACATAGCAAAGTGAAAATGGCCGATGGGGGAGGGGGGGAAAGGGGGGGCGGTGGAGAAGAGGTAGAATGGGGGCAGGGGTGACAGAGGCAGTAGGTAAGGAAGGGGGGTTATGAAAGTACTTTTATTTTCCATATCTGAAAAATCAAAACATGGGGAATCTATCTTCTGCTGTTCTCACTAAACTTTTACCTAATGACTTCCATACCTTTTATGTAAGTTATCTTGTTACTACATATTCTGCAGTATTTCATGAAAACCAAGATATTAACAACCAAACCACTCCACCCTACTTTGACAATGTAAAATCTAAAAAAGAAAAAAGAAAGAAAGAAATATGGCAAATACATAGAATATTCAACATATTTATTATATTGAGAGATTAGGGATTTAATAGGTTACCACTGAGGACTTCGTAGTTAAAGCCATGCTCTGGTTGTTGGAGAAACTTTTAAATTCCGCTGAATCAGCACTGTCATTCAGTGATCTCAACTTGGAGGAAGGTGTCTTTATGGCTAATTTAGGGAGGCCAAAAGACTTCTCAGGTGGCATACAAGAGGAAAGAAATCTTCTATCAGTGTTTGTTTTAATGCCTGCCTTTGCAGTTATATCTCCTTTGTGAGGAATGCTGAGAACTTTTTCTCCTGTAGCAGAATGATGGCACTCAGTATATATTCCTGCATGGCTTGCTGTAGATGTCTGTCCTGATGAAACTAAAACCAAGCAATAAATGAGCATAAACTGCATCTACAAGCAAACACCGTTTTTCTCAAGGAATTCCAAAAAAGAGTGTAGTATAAAAGGATTTTCCTCTTATAACTAAGCCCTAAGACACCAAACAAGCCACATACATGCACAAAATCAACCTACTCTCAAAAATGTATAACCCAATTTTTGAAAATACAGGGTACCCAACTGCTCTTTGAACTGCAAACACTCAGCACCTCAAAAATCAGACTCATAATAGCGAATATCTTTATCTTGGAATGTACTCAGTCATATTGTACCTCTGACACTCCTAAAATGACAGAAACACAGAATTCTGTACTGAATAATGAATTACAGAATTCTTCACCTTATAATTTCTTCATTTTTAAAACTGTAATGTTTGCCTGGAAGTAGCTGAATAACTCCAAAGGTAACTTTATATTTTCAATTAAATAAATCTAAAGATAGCTACTTGAAAGTAAGTAAAATTTCTTTGAGACTGGTTGCACTTAAGAATACATACTCTTGAGCCATATCCCTCTCTTGTGTGCAGAACCATAATGATTCTTTTTTTTTTTTCCCTTTAGACAGTTATTTGGTTTTTTTCCTTTGCCCCTAAGGGCATATATAGCACACCTCAGAGTCCAATTGTCATTTTCTCTTTCACCTTTTAGCCTTAAAATAAACAGAAGCTTGAACCAAATGCAGAGCGAGAGACTGACTAAGCACATACAAATACAATTTATTTGTTAAAACAGAAAAAATTAATTAAAACTTCAACTATAACTAACCTCAATTACAGAAAAATAGCATAGTAAACTAACCTACTCTTCAGAATGTGGATTAAACACTGTTTTCTGTTTCTAATGTTTATTAGTGGCATCGCAAAACAAAGTATCTACACTTTTGCAAGCTTTTTTCCCAGCAGACAGATAAGAGAATGAAACTGCAAATATAAAAACGTACTTGGCTCTTAAAAATTGACATATCCACAAATTGTGTGTTGATCAATGAAGGTGAATGACATTTTTAGTCCAAGGGCTATCCTGAGCTTTTGCACATAGATGTAGACCATTTAAGTCATTTTTCTTTATATAACAAAATAGGGGATGTTAATCTTTAAGCAGCAGTGGGCTGAAATAAGGCAGTTGCATCATAAAATTCACCTGTACTGCAGCCATTGCTGTCACCCCTTGCCCCTCACTGATGATTCCTGTCACTACTAACTGCAAGTAGCAAAAGAAGACACAGTTGCAGTAATGGGGAGCAACTGAGAGAGAGAGCAGAGAGGGGTGGGGTGGCAGCAAGCAGAACTATGGAAAAACTGGAGTAGAACAGGCAAGGGGGACATGCAAGAAGAAATGATTATGAGCAACATTTGTTTCTTTTACAAAATATGAAGATAGTATTTAATTGGTTATACCACCACTATAAAAACATATAAAAAATCATCATAAAATACTTTTTATTCCCAAAATAAGGAAATAAAGTGTCAAGAAAGAAAAAATAATAATATCCCCATTATTTACCTTTAGAAATTTGTTCCAAAGGTGCAGTATTTCTGTCCCAAGGAGGTATTAGAAGATCTTTTTTATCAGCTGTGGAAGGTACATGATCAAATGACTTTCTAGTTATATCAAGAGCTTGGGCTGGTGAAAAGCGTGACACTGTACTCTGTTGGTGTTCAGGTCCCATAGCTCTTTTTATATAAAACAGAGAGAGAGACAGATTGGAAGAAATTTCATAAATAACACATGACCTCCTAAAGATTAACAAATTTAAAACTCAGATTTCTTCTGGAAGTTTATAGGAGTTGCATATATAGATACATCAATGACAGTACTCTACATAGCTTTTTAGATTTTATCATATAAAAAATGTATTAAACAGATAAAGGTTTTTACTGATATCTATATTTTATCTGGAAATACCAAGTTATAGATGAGGTTGCTTCTTTAAGATGATACTGCATTCATAAGGTCTATAACTTCTCTGCATGCACATCTGTAACAGGGAACCCTAGCCCTGTTACTAAGAGACAGGGTGGTCCCTTTAAATCCAGAACCTTCCAGTCATGGCCGGCCGGTCAAGCAGGGGTTAAGGCTCAAGCCCTGCCAGCCAGTCAGGTGACAGGAAGAGGAAGGCCAGGATCCTACAAATGGCAAGTGGAGAAGGCCAGAGGGGCATCAGGGAGGGGGCATCTCAATGACCATGGTGCTGGGGCTGTAGTCTCTGTTGGAAGACTACACCATGCTGTGAGCCATCCTCATGATCATCTAAAGTAAGCAGGCATATTGCCTCTTTTGTTTCTGTATTATTATTTTTCCATTATATGGCCTTAGAAGCCTATGTTTTGTGTTGAATGTTAAGACCAGTGGTTTGGGTGAGGCTATTTGTGGAAAGAGGAGGCCTCAGTAGAAGCCCACTGCAGTGTGGGGACCCCAGTGCCAGAGAGGGTACAGTATTCGGGGGTGAGCTGACCCCAGCGCCAGAGAGGGTACAGTATTCGGGGGTGAGCTGACTCCAGCGCCCCAGAGGGCACAGGAACCCGAGAGGGGTTTTTTTGTTTTTGTTTTGTTTTTGAGGGCTAGAGCCTGGGAGTCAAACCCTGATTTCTGGGGGGGTTTTGACTGACAGGCCTAGCTAGAGAGAGAAGGGTAGGCCCACAGCAGCCGAGACCCCAACATAAAGAAGAATTTACAAATACCATCTGGGAGGCTTGGGCTACAGTGTAGGGGAGGAACAGAGCCACAGATAGCGTTCCCTGGCATTGGGGCATACAATGGGCAGCCTCCCGCTTAATTAACAACAAGGCATGGCAAGCGAGAAGGCAGGTGGTTGGCCCATAACAGGTGGGCAGGGCCACCAGTAAACAGACCCCGAGCAAGCCCCCCGTTACAACATCCCAGTGTAAAAGTACAAAGAGGCTAAAGTCTATACAGAAGCCAAGATTTGTTCATATGCAGAGGTGTACGACACTTCTAAACATTAAGAGCAAGATTTAAAGATTCAGGTGTCCTGCTCTCATTCATATGCAATGGCACATGGGCACTTAATTCTCTCAGGTGCTTTTGAAAATCTCGTCTTAACTTTGCAATTTAAGTGCTAGAGAAATACTGGATTGGCATAGAATAACCAACAGAATAACTCTTTTGCTTACTAAGCATTTATTCTAAAAGTTTGACACACAACATGCACAGATCATAAATACATTATAAAAGAGTATAGGTTAAGTTGGTTGTGCTTGATATTTACCAGCTTTACAACAAAGCCTATAAAAGACAAGCTTCCCATGTCCTATAAGGCTTTTGCAACTCCTTACTTCAGCAAGATAGGATTGAAATCTTGCAACTGCTGTGAAGAATGGTTATCAGTCACATTCTTAGAGAACATTCAGGGGACAGCAAGTAGTAAAATGACAGAACTATTAAGTATCTAGCCACCTAGCACAAATTAACCATTTTTTTTTAAAATTAAGTTGAGAAGATATGCACAGTATGCATGCTTTAAATAAATTAATGCCATGGCTGATAAGATGGCAGTCTTCACTGAAGCTTAAGATACAACCCAATCATTTTATATCAACACCAAAGTATTCCCCTACTTCTTTCACAAGAATATCAGCTTTTTGATGCTTTGCAAACTGTGACTGGTGCTGTAGAAGCAGACCACACAAAGTTAGAACACAGTTAGCAGCATGGACTACCACTATGTTTGTGGCCCTCCAGGAAATTTTTTACTCAAATTTTTATATTCAGGAAAGAGAGACCATAACGACTCAATTCGGTTTTCTAAGAATGTAATGTTTAATCTAAAAAGTACAAAAATATAATTTAAGCACACAGGTTAATGGCATTTTACTAGACAGTTCACAGTGAAACATTTGCTCAGCTCTGATGTGTTAATCACAAAAGCTTGGTTCAATTCCAATAAAACAACATTAACATAAGAAACCCTAGCAAGTTGTTTTGTTTACCTTTGTTTGTTCCCCGATTTAGTTGATCCAAGTTCTGTCACCATAAAGTTGGTTGATTCTTCTAAGTCATCCTCATAAGACTAATTTAAAAATAAAAAGATATGGAAAGAATTAAATTTATCAACTGACATAACATATACCAGCGTGAATAAAAGCCTGAAAGATTACAGCCACAGTAGTGAAGAAACATTAGACATGTATCTTTAGAGTTAAACTTTATGATTGCAAGGATAATAACAATGGTAAAACAACAAAAAATGTTAACTATACAAGCAATAACCTAATAGAGGCTATTTAAGTCTAGACATTTTTCTCATTAAATTACCAAATTTAATTTTTAACTGATAAAATTTGTTTAAAATACAGAGATTACTTAAATCAAACTCTTCAGATTTTATTTTAAGACTTATCATTTAGTATATACTCACATTATCAAGTACCTCAATTTTCAAAGAAGATTCAGAGAACTCAGGAACAGCGTCAGATACTTCTGTTCTAAAAAGAGATGTCCAATATTGTTTCATCTCTTCAGCTGGGAAACAGATTTAGAGTAGTACATTCATTCAGAGTGTGTTTTTTCCTTTGGGGAACGAGTCATTGTTTATTTTAAAAGTTAACATTTTGCATTTTTTTTTAATTTTATTATATCCATTCTGTATATCCATTTAGTCACCTTCTACCCTGACCTTTACTCAAAATGAATTTGGAACAATCTGTATATGCAAAGGTGATTATGGATAGGGGAAAGAATTCAAATATTTAATATACTCAATTAACAACAACAAAATAAACAAACCTATTAAATCCTCCTCCTCCTCATTTCTTCCTTCTCTGCCCAGAGCATTGTGAAATTCATTTACCATTGACTGCCCAGGTCTGAATCCATTTACCTGAATACCAGGTTCTTTTTCAATGGGAGTTCTAAATAACAAAATAAAAAGATGATTCAAGTCATATATAATTACTAACATGCCACGGTGTTAAATCAATGCTGACCCTACCACTTTTACATGAGCTGAATTTGGTGTCTCTTTCTGCAAGGGGCTGATACCCCTGAAAGATGCAGAGCCCCCTCCATTTTCACTTCAAGGGCACGCAGGACCTGACAGACTCAGTCACAAGGGTTAAAAGAGAATTGTTTTCTGCAATTTATATCATCTAATTGGCCGAAAGCTTGAGGTTTAGGAGCCTCCATGATTCAAAGAGTGCATTCTTAGCAGAATGAATATCCCAAAAAATGAATTAAACCTCTGCCAAACTTATTTGCAATTAATGACTCCAAATTCTAAACCTCATTGAGATTAAATAGGCTCTCTTTAAAAACAGTTCTGAAGTAATCATAATGTCAAACATGGGCGTCATTATTTTATTTGACAATAAACACACATTTTATAGTAAGTGCATTTAACATTCTCCAGCATGGCTTTAATATACTAACCAGAACTCTGAAAAACTGTTTTAGCTAGATCTGATAATAATGAAGTGCACATATTTTTGGATTCTTTTATTAATACCCACTGATTCTATCAATACCTTCTGTGTTTTTTAAGCCACAGTTTTTCCATATAGCTCAAGCTGTCTTCTTTGAATTCAATCTGAACAGGTTCTCTTGAAAGTGTAAGATGGGTCTGTACCTCACAAATTCCCATGGATTCTATAAAAGTTGCAAAGGAAATGTCTGCATATCATTCAAGTACATTAACTTTCCCTCCACTTTAATCATACAATCTGTTTCCAATTAATAGCACATCAGTCATTTAAATGTCAGTTTAGTTGTCTACATAAAAGTTGCAAATATTACTTTTCTTGCATTATTCATGTTTTGTTCAATGTATTTTCTTGAATATTTCTTGAATATTTGACCCAAGTGAATTTACAAACTAACATGAATTGACTGGATTTAACTGAATATCAATATACCTTTTCTGACCAAAGTATACCTTTTACACTTGTTTAGAAGAGAGAGGATAAAATTGAGGATCTAGGCAAAAGTAGATACCTACAACTGTTATCTGGCTTCTTCCACTACTCCTAACCTGAGAGTACATAAATTAGAAATTAAGGCTGTCTCACACCAATGAAAGAAAAGGAACTAGCTATTTAGGACTATGACACACTACACAACACTCTGGACATGTACATCACCTCCACTACCATCTGAAGATCACGCACTTGGACTCAGGAGACCTCGAAACAGTTACACAAGCCCTAAACCTCCAAACAATTATATACATCCTTACGTTTATGCATTTAAACCTATGGGATTACTCATATACAATCAGGCATATACACACACAAAGGCAGGGCCCATGAGTCTCCAAATGAAACCCCAATCACAGAAAAAGCTATTAGTAAAAGTTCAATATTATTCTGAACCTCTCAAGTGCCAAACCATTCACACTTTAGAAAGAGAACAGAAAACTACCATTCCATATATTACTGAAGAGCTAGATTATCTGGCACAAATCCAACTGGGCAAGATTTTATTTTTAGTATTAAACTGATCATATCATAGGGAGGATTCAACCTGAAACTTAGAGATTCAGGGGCAGACCTGTAAGGGAGAAAAAGAATGGGCACTAGAATGTAATACATATAAACCCAAGGCATGTGTTTTGCTCGCCTCAGGGGAAGGCTTTATGCCTTGGGTTTACTAGTTATACTGAGGTCTCGGATGAAAGCTCAAGAGCCAGGAAGGAGAGTTATGTGACAACAGCCCTTTGAACTTCTAGCAAGTGCCTTTGATCAGAATATCTCAAAACCTTTGGCAACTAAATCTTATTATGTTCATTTTACAGGTTTTACTGAAAAAGAGAGATTAAACAAACTTGCCCAAGTCAGAGAGTCAGGAATAGAACATAGGAATCCTGATAGAAAGCTCATCTTCTGTATTATGAATAGGAAAAAAAGGTCTGCATACTAGGGAACAGAAAGAATACTTCACTTTGAGGAAAATATATTTACTGTTAAAAAATGTTATAGAATATCCATTATCTCCACTAACAGAACCATTAACAAAATTGGAGACATTGAAGTTGCCATTTGAAAAATAAATGAAAACAAACTATAATATTCTATCCCAGTAAAGTGGTGCCTCTTGCAGGAGGAAACTGAAGTTAGAGAAACAAATTAACCAACTTTCGGAGTGCTTTGACAGGCAAACAAACAAAAAATAGCATTAATACTGATTTGGCATGTTTTACCCAATGTGCATTTGAAGATCATCGTTGCAGTCATCACTATAACCATGCAAAAAAAGTCTCCTGTGTAACACTTGTAGCCCATTCCAAAACATTAGGACTTAATAATGTAATATTTTAACAAGCTTTTAATATGGTATTACACAAATGCAACTGCTGGACAGAAAATGTAAGGTGCAGTCACGCAGCCTATCGCAATCACAACACCAAGTGGCTCAGGAACCAGCTGCAATGTCAGCTGCTGGTCAACATTTGATCAGTCATTTTGATCATTATAAAAAAAATTCATATCTGGCAACTTGAGTATATAAATGCTTATTTAGGCTACTCAGCACATAAGCTTTGAAACGTGCTACCAACCGAAATGAGTGAGGGTTTCTTTCTTAAAATGCATGCAACACAGTAATACCTGCTTCAGCTTTGATAGAGTTTTGTTTCTTTTTGAGTTCATGATTTCCATGCCTCCACTGAGTTAAAGCTTCCTGAAAGGACTTTGAAGATTCATCCTCATCAAAGGTGCCATGCAGTAATAACCTACCATCCTGATTCTCAGTACCTGTCCATGTTGATGAGGTAGAAAATTCCTGAAACAATTTCAGAAACTCAGTTAATCAAATTTGTCCCAATGGAAATTCTCTTCTTGCCACAGACACATATACCTGTTCACAAAGCATTAAAGCTTTTGTATTTTAATTACTGAAGAGAACAAATTCTGCCCTTTCTCTGTGCTTGGTTTGGTGTAAAATTGTGATCAAGAATTCAAGGCTACTTTAAGAAATCACCTCCTTGGAGAAACTAAACTAAGATTCCCCATCAAAACAGCTCTAACACTGATTTTTAAGTAAATGTATAAGAGGAAGCAGAGTTAAGAATGAATAACATTTATAAATTAAGATGATTACAATTAAGACCAAATATAGGTCACAAGGATTAAAAGGAGTCTATTTTCTGTTGATATAAGCCTTACACCCTCCTCTCCCCACACCCCCCCCACACGTGCGCACACACAAGTCAGAGAATGTCTGAAATTGATCAGTCTTTTGCCAGATTGAGGCACTATAAACCCTGAATCATTGTGCCCCAAGAATTGTATGTGAAGTACAATTTCTGTTTTACAGGAACATTAACAGCTCAAAAAATTCCCTGCCCTACCACAGCACTGACTGTTGACGTTAGCAGAGATGAAGATGTGTCTGACGTGAGCTGATTTGTGCTACTTTTTTTCTTCTGCTCATGATTCATTTTTGATTCATCTGGATTAACTTCTTTCATGAAGCGATGAACAACTTCCAATTTTCCAACAGATGCATTGGCTTTTGCCTACAAATTAAATGTATCACCAAATTAATTTCAAATAAACGCACACAGACTTTTCACTGAACTGCATACACAAGGAATTGCAGTGACAGAAGCAAAAAGAAAAGAAAAGAAAAGAACCTCCCCGCAGAAGCCAGAACACAAAATGATGGAGTTCCACACATTATTTTCAATAGTCTGGGTTTCCTTCAGCAGCATATACTCAAATATGCACGCACTATATTAAACAGCCTGTATGAAACAAAGGTTTCAGTACCAACCACCTAAGAAAGCATGACATTTCAAGACATAACTAATGAAGGTCAATTAAATGACTTTGTCTAGTGTAGAACTGTAACTACAGAAGTTAATCAGAGGTGAAGTTGATTTAAGGAGTCCAAAGGAATTTCAGTTAACACTTCAAAAGAACTAATCTGAAAGATGACATGTGAGAACTAGTTCAAAAATACAGACAAGTTAGCAAAGGTCAAAGGATGGAAGTTGTTCTCAGCTGAAAATACATTTTCATTACATATTATGGCTTTCCTTTTTTTCTCTTCTAATTTACAGCAGGATAAAGCGGACTTGCTATAGGGTTATAGGGTTCTGACTACTCAGAATTAGCCAATTATCTAAATGGGAAAATGTAAAAATCAAAAGAGAAGAAGCAAAGATGAAAAATCTTTGTCCTGTGGACTTAATCCGTTTCACGGTGACACCGAAAATCTAAAAGACACAGGACCTAGAGTACTGAATAAAAGTATTACATGATGTGTGTATGCACACGCAGGCAGAGTATTTACTTGAATGTAACACAAGGGGTTTTTCCCTCCAACCAGCATGGGGAAAAAAGCTCTTCATCTTACATCTGCATACAAGGAAACATCATTAAAAACACTGTCTATCATTAAAATCTTATGCTTTAAGCAGCATGTTCTCAGTAATAGAAACCAACTATGAAGTTGATTAAATGGAGCCAACACTGAGCATCACGATAAAACAGGAACGTACCACAAGAATAGGGTAGTGCAGCTCATTTTAATCAGATATCTAGTAGTGCCCATTGTGTTCAGTTCCTCTCAATGCCAACTCTTCTTCAAGTCATGGTGAGCTACTACACTGAATACATTTAGACTCCCACTTCATTCCCACAGCTGAGCTGCAGGGCTGCGTAAAGCTTCGGTAGCCTATTCGATTCAAAGGAGATTCAGCCTGATTCGGCTACCAAATCTCCGAATCCAAATCAAATTGGGAGACCACTTAAAAGGTCTGAATCAAATCGGAAGCCTCCAAATCAATTCAGAAAAGATTAAGCGTTGCTTCGGAGATTTGGTCATAGACTAAACAGGTAGCAGTCCTCACCACACTGGACATAGCTGCCTCCAGCTTAAAAGTCTGTTGTGGTGGACAGAAGAGGGAGGGAAGGGGCGTAGGGGAGAGACTGTGGCTGGGACAAGCTGCCCAGCTGGGGCAGGGGGGCGCAGGATGCAGGCGCGGCAGCACTGGGAGTGGGGGCGATGCCCTGCTGCCACCTGCCCAGATGAGGCTGGGGGGGGCAGGGAGAGGGGGTGCAATGCAGGCACAGCTCACTCCAGGCAGAAGGGGGCAAGTAGCAGCAGGGCACAGCCTACTACTTGCCCAGACAGGGCAGGGGGGCGTGGGATGTGGGCGCTGCCACTGCTTGCCCAGCCGGGGGGGAGAGAGGGTGGAATGTGAGTGTAGCAGCATGGGGAGCTGGGGCTATGCCCTGCTGCCACTTGCCCAGCCAGGGGTGGGGGGGCATGGGATGTGAGGACGGCAGCACTGGGAGCACGTGCTATGCCCTGCTGCCGCCTGCCACCT